AGGTAAAACTTAGCAAAAGTATTATGGTGGTGATATTTTTCGGATTAAGTGTTATCACTGTAAGAAGGAGGATCACACAAGAAAGATGTGCTCTGAGCTCCTGAATAATCATGGAGGTAAGGACAATGACAATGCAGCTATTGTGCAAGATGAGTATGAATCATCTAATGTCCACGTGGTGTCGAGCAGAAACTCTTGCAAAGAGTGGATTATGGATTCTGGATCTACTTGGCATATGACTCCAAACAAGAATGTGCTTGAAGAATTATGTGATCAAGATGATGGATCAGTGTTGTTGAGAAACAATAAAGCTTGCAAGATTATAGGTATTGGATTTGTAAGATTCAAGCTCCATGATGAGTCAATAAGGCTATTAACTAGGGTTAGGTATGTACCTGACCTTAAGAGGAATATAATTTCTCTTGGTGAATTTGACAAGAAAGGATATGTCTTCAAAGGAGAACAAGTTATCCTGAAAATCATGAAGAGGTCGAAGGAAGTCTTGAGAGGCGTGAAGAAACAAGGCTTGTATACCCTTGAGGCTGAGTTTGTAAGTAGTTCAGTAGATTTTGCATCCACGAAACCTGTGTCGAAGACATAATTATGGTACATGAGATTGGGCCATGTCGGCGAAAGAGGCCTGGTCGAATTGGGGAACAGAACCTGCTAGGTGGTGACAAAGTCGAGAAGTTGGAGTTTTGTGAACCTTGTGTATTTGGAAAATCCTGTAGGGCGGAGTTTAATAAAGGTAAACAAAGAACACATGGATCCCTTAATTACATCCATGCTGATCTTTGGGGGCCTGCAAGGAATCCTTCACATGCAGGTGCAAGGTATTTTCTATCCATAGTTGATGATTGTTCTAGAAAATTATGGGTATTCATTTAGAAGACTAAGGATGAAACTTTTGAGAATTTCAAAAGTTGGAAGATTCTGGTCGAAACTCAAATTGGGAGAAAGGTTAAGAGGTTGAGAACCGACAATGACCTTGAGTTCTGCGACGAAGCTTTCGACAGTTACTGTGTTGAGTCTGGGATTGCAAGGCATAAGACTGTAGCAGGTACTCCTCAGCAAAATGGCTTAGCTGTAAGATTCAATCGAACAATCGTTGAAAGGGTAAGGTGCATGTTGGTTAGTGATAGATTGAAGAAGGTTTTTGGGCGGAGGCTGTTTCGACAGCTGCTTATCTGACAAATAGATGTCCCTCAACTGCCTTGGTAATGAAGACACCTGAAGAAGTTTGGTCGGGTCAACCACCAGATCTCGACAAACTGAGAGTATTTGGTTGTTTAGCCTATGCTTATATTAGGCAAGACAAGGTCGAACCTAGAGCTCTGAGTTGCATGTTCCTTGGATATCCTGAGGGAGTCAAAGGTTATAAGTTGTGGTGCCTAGAGCCAGGTCACAGAAGATGCATCACAAGTCGTGATGTAGTTTTCAATGAAGTTGAGATGGTGTTCAAGAAAACTGGTGATGTTGGTCGACGTGCAGAAATATTTGAAGAGGAGATGGAACATGTAGATATTATTGTTGAGGTGGAGCTTAGTGATGCTGAAGTGCATAACCCAGATGAAGTCGAAAAAGAAGAGCAAGATGCTGAAGAGACTGAGGAAACTGTCGATGACTACCTACTGGCAAGAGATAGGTCGAGAAGAGTCATCAAGCCACCTCAGAGACTTGGTTATGAAGATCTTATAGCTTTTGCCTTAATCTCTGCAAGTGAGGTACTTGAGGAAGAACCTAGAGATTACAAGGAAGTTATGAAGAGTCGAAATAAGACTGAATGGCGAAAAGCCATGGATGACAAGATGAAATCTGTTGATGATAATAACATTTGGGAACTGATTGAGAAACCTGCAGAAGCAAGGTTAGTCAGTTGTAAGTGGATTTTCAAGGTCAAGGAAGGAATCAAAGGAGTGATGTCGAAGCGCTTTAAGGAAAGGCTGGTTGCTAGGGGGTTCACTTAGAAAGAAGGTGCTGACTTTAATGATGTGTTCTCACCTGTTGTAAAGCATATATCCATTAGAATGTTGTTGGCCATGCTTGCAAAGTTTGACTTGGAACTTGAGCAGATGGATATGAAGACAACATTTTTGTATGGTGACCTAGACGAAACGATCCTAATGCATCAACCTGAAGGGTATGCAGAAATAGATAAGAAAGATTATGTGTGTAAGCTGAATAGGTCTTTGTATGGTCTGAGACAATCTCCTTGATAGTGGAACAGGAGATTTGACAAGTTCATGGCACACATTGGTTTCACTAGGAGCCAGTTCAACCACTGTTTTTATTTCATATTTTGACCTAGAAATTCACTTGTTATTTTGTTGCTTTATGTGGATGATATCCTCATATGTAGCAACAGTGTCGAGAATGTAATGAAGGTGAAAGTTGAATTCAGCAAGGAGTTTAAAATGAAGGATCTGGGAGTTGCCACTAGGATTCTTGAGTTTAACATCTGGAAAGATAGAAAGCAGTCGAAGTTGTGCTTATCTCAAGAGACGTGCCTACGAAAGCTTCTCGAAAAGTTTGGTATGTCGATTTCAAAGATTATTATGACTCCAACAAATCCTCAGTTTAAGCTTAGTAATATTCGAAGTTCGAGTATTGAAGCTGAAAGAATCTATATGAGTAGCATTCTGTATGCTAGTGTAGTAGGTTTTTTGATGTATGTTATGGTTTGTACGAGGCTAGACATAACGTATGGTGTGAGCCTTGTAAGCAGGTATATGTCCAATCCTGGAAAGGCGCACTGACAAGCTGTAAAGTGGATTCTCAGGTACATAAATGAGTCTCGAAAAATAGTCTTGATTTATGGTGGAATCTGAAGTAATGATAGCAAAGTCGAAATCGAAGGGTTTGTCGATTCTGATTATGCAGGTTGTATGGATCCCAGAAAGTCTATTTATGGATATGTGTTCACTATGTTTGGCACAACAATAAGTTGGAAAGCAACGCTTCAGAAAGTTGTTGCCTTATCAACCACTGAAGCAGAATATATTGTCCTCACTGAAGTTGTGAAAGAAGCATCGTGGCTTGAAGGTTTTGCAAAAGAGCTGAAACTTCAAGGTCGAAGTATCATTGTTAAATGTGATAGTCAAAATGCAATACACTTGTCGAAGAACTCAACCTATCATGAGCGAACAAAACACATCGATGTGAGGCTGTATTTCGTCAGAGAGATAATCGAGTGTGGTGAAGTCCAGGTGCTGAAGGTTTCGACTAATGACAATGTTGCTGATATGATCACCAAGACGTTGCCAAGTTGCAATTTTTTCCACTGTATGCAGTTGATAAATCTGCATGATGAAAGCTAGTTTATTCCCTGTTGTTGTAGAGTTAGATCCAAGGTGGAGATTTGTGACATTTTGGGTCGAACTCTACCTCTGTCGAAGAATAACTTTCATGTGTTTCGACAGGAGACAAGCATGAAGTCGAAGTTGGATCACATGCTGATGTCGAAGGGTTACATACTATAGTCGAAGCTAGTTCTAGTATGTAATGTCGAAATATATTGTTGACTTATTATGTCGAATTAGGCCTTGTGTTAAGGATCCAATTGTTTAATTAGTTTGAGTTGTAAGTTAACTAGTTAATCTATATATAGGCTAGATCATTTAGGTTGTTGAGTGATGCCAATTATGATATTCATTTTTTAATCATTTATAAACCCTTATGAGAAAATGAGTAGTAAATAATTTGTTATAATCTTTCTTTTTTTTTTCTTCTTTATTTTCTTTTATCCTTTCTTCTTTTTCTCTTTGTTATAACTGATTTCATTGTTCACCCAAAAAAATTTTTTTTCAATCTTTATTTATTAAAAAGTATAGTTTGTGATCACCACAATTTTACTCTTTTATATTCTTATTATATTTTAAAAATAAATACGCGTAACACACCGATACTCGTGTGTAAACGCATGAACATCTCATTAATTTCTATTAATTAATGAATTCACAGCCATCAGTATCAATTAAACAACGACAAGTGGTGAAGATATAAGGCGACAGCATAGTCATTCACATGATTATTAAATACATTACAAAACTTTTACCTTCTTTGGAACACACCCACCATGCTACTTTTTTAATGTCGGTTTCAAATTTTTCTCTTTTACAGATAGGAACATTCCTATATTATAATCAAAATAAATAATATGATAAGGAATGGTGATAAAGATCATTCACATTTGAAGTAAATGAAAACTTCATTGCCAGCTTGATAACTAACCAAATGTATGAATGAATTTAATCATGCCACAAAAGTCCAACTCTATTCACACAATAAACAGTTGAATATACAAGTACTTCTTTGGCAGGTTTTATCCATTCACCAAATTATATACTTTTCTATTCAAGAAAGAAAAAAAGAAAAAAAGAAAAAAAAAAACTAATATTATATGCTTTCTTTTAAAAACATGTTAAATTGGACAGACAAAATTAAAGGTAGACCTTCCTAATGTCAAACTTTCTATGATAACAAGTTTACAAGTGCCTAATTTTCAAAAAAAGATGCTCTCTACATTTTCTATTTTTCTTTTGATAATCATTTTTCTTTCTTTTTGCTCTTTAATAATGACTCAACTCATTCATTGATGTAGATTGACAACAGTTTTTTTTTATTTTTTTATCTATTGATGCTAATTTCTCATACCTGATCTTTGGACTAGTTTCATATGTTTCAAACTAGATCATTCACCTGAATGATTTGAGAATTTTGGGTTCATGAAGTACTGTTGAATATGAAATTATGAACAGTAAAAATGAGGAAAGTTTGCATAACTTGTGTACAAATACAATCCAGTGTATGAAGATTGTATCTATGTTCTTCCTCAGACATCACTGTGAGATTTCTCTTTCTTTTATATTCTGCTGCAATTTTTTAATTTGTCCTCAGTTCATAATCTGCATGATAAGATCATAACCCTTGGTTTTCATTTGTTATTTTAATGAACTATGTTTTCAGGTTCTTGAATTTTCAGCATCAGATTATAACAGTAAATGAGGAAACCTGTGGTTATCGCCTTTTTCATAACCATATGCTTCATTGCTTTTGTCATATCCAAGATTGTTATCTCAATCCTCCTCTATAAGAGATGGAAAAGAAAACATGTCATTTATGAAGGTTATACAGGTATTAAATGAGTTCTCATGTGTTTTTGATACTATCAGTATCGAAGTGTTTGTGTTGTATCGTGCCCTGGTGTCTGTTCGGATAAGCTAATCCAAATAGGCTCGTATACTAACTTAGATTGATTGGATGATATATAGGAGGGAAGATGGTGATATTCAGGTCCTCAATCCTTAAATCTTTAACAACTGAGATGGTGTTAAAGAAGACACAGAAACTGAACAACAAGGACATTATTGGTTCTGGTGGTTACGGTGTAGTTTACGAACTAAAACTAAATGATTCCGCGGCCTTTGCTGTGAAAAGACTGAACCGCGGAACAGCAGAGAGAGATAAAGGTTTTGAGAGAGAGTTACAAGCAATGGCAGACATAAAACACCGCAATGTTGTGACTCTTCATGGATATTATAGTGCACCACACTACAATCTTCTCATATACGAGTTAATGCCTAATGGAAGTTTGGATTCCCTTTTGCATGGTATGTATTTTTCAGTGATTTTTTTGTATCCAAACATGTCATAAGTCGTTTTCATAAGTTTTTCTGAACTACGATACGTTGAAAATGATGTAGGGAAATCGATGGACAGGAAGGTTTTGGATTGGCCAACAAGGCACAGAATAGCTTTAGGTGCAGCTAGAGGAATATCGTATCTTCACCATGATTGTATCCCTCACATTATCCACAGAGACATCAAGTCGAGTAATATATTGCTGGATCAAAATATGGAAGCTCAAGTTTCGGATTTCGGGTTAGCTACACTGATGGAACCAAACAAAACTCATGTTTCAACGATTGTTGCTGGAACTTTCGGATACTTGGCTCCGGGTATAAAAAATACATCTAAGTTTAATAGTTTTTCACTTTCGCGTGCTTTGTGTTTCGAAATGATGATTGTTTGTATGCAATGCAGAATATTTTGATACAGGAAGAGCAACAGTCAAAGGGGATGTTTACAGTTTCGGAGTTGTGTTGTTGGAGCTTTTAACCGGAAAGAAACCTAGTGATGAAGCATTTATGGAAGAGGGAACCAAACTTGTCACATGGGTAAGATATGATTTGTTTAATCTGAATGAATCCTATAAAATTGACTTGTAACGTGATAAATGTCTCGCACCGACGAGATTTTGAGGACTTACTTTCATGAAAATCGTTCTGTTATTAATGTATCAGGTGAGAGCTGTTGTTCAAGAGAAGAAAGAGGAATTGGTTCTTGATAGTAGCTTAGGTTCATGTTGTCCAATGCATGAGGTCAACAAGGTGTTCAACATTGCAATGATGTGCCTTGAACCAGATCCTCTGAATAGGCCAACCATGGCTGAAGTTGTCAACTTGCTCGAGAAAACCGACACAGCATCCTGATTTTCACTCAAAAACCAACAAGCCGCGCGGCAGAGCTAGAACAAAAATTGAAGAGGCCATTTAAAAACATTTGTGTTAGTTTTATAATTGTCTTGCATTTCTGGAAACAATGAAAATGTCAAGAATTATTTTCATTATTTCCTGAAATGGATCGCTAGCGAACATTTTACCGTCTCTCCATTACAAACTTGTAAATAATTTACTTTCTTAGAATAGGTTAGATAAATTCGACAATATAGTATTTGTCATTATGAATTGTAAATACTATTCTATATTATGGAATGGAATAGAGCTTGATTACAAACATAGAAAACAGGCTCCAGTAATACATTCAAAGATTGAACCATTTGAAGAAAACAACTACGCATGAGATTTTCCCGAGACTCTAAATTTGTTTACTCGAGTACTTTGGACAAGCTTTCAGCCACTGAAGATTTCAAGGAGGGAGAAACAGGACTGTCTCCGAGGAATACATCAAAAAGAGCATGAGTCACATTTGCAGATTCAATTGTAGCATCAACGGTAGATGGAATTCCGTCCGATGAGACAGAAACCTGAAATCGCAAAACGAATCAATGGTCTGAAATAGAAAATCTCGACGACAAATTCTGAAATTCATAGGAAACATTAGCAGAAAAATATCTTACAAGCAATTTGGAGGGGTTCAACCAAGTCAAGAAAATGAAAGTTCCTTTCTTAAGAGATCGATCTTGAAAGACGCTACGGAAAGTGGTCAATGCAGTTTCATCTGCAGTTGTTGGTTTTGCAATTCTCGGTGATATGGCGTCACTTAACGCGTCCCAGAAAGTTTTACCATCAACATCTCTCACAAGAATGATTTGCAATGATTTCTCAAGTGCAGCTGCAGTTAGAAAATCGAATTTGCTTATCGACTATTCTCTAAATTAGAAATCGAATTCGCAATAATACAGTAAATTAATACTAAATTGTTACATTGGAAAACGGTGTTGAACAAGGAAGAACTCCCTTGAATCGCATCTTTGGATTTTCCTTTCCAATCATTTAAAACAGTTATGATAGACTGGTTAAGATACAGTCCTGCTGCGTAGACCTTGACGCCGATAATCGCGAAAACTTTTTCTCTGTATCCTGAAATAGGTGTTGATATCAGAACCAACTACACAAGAATCTTTGTAACATACTAATAGACCAAGTTTAATGTTGTCAAGGTAATGTTTTTTTCACATGTCATTATGTGAGACTAAAAGAACTAACCGGTTCCAAATAACGTTAATGAGTCTGTGCAACCCGGGAAACTCAAAGATGTCGGAAATTTCACATTTGTTGCTGGTTCCTTGATGTATTCAGCATTTACAGCTGCAGTATTCAATCATATAAGCAAATAGATGTCAATTTTTGTTATCAATCAACGACAATTTACAACTCTTAGAGATGTTTAAGATCAGGTAGGCTACCAGCCATCAGGTAACCCCACTATCAGGTTTAAAATCCCGAGAGCACCAGAACTGTTATCAATGATAGTGTGGGTCACTTCTCTTGTATACCCAATATTTCCTCCATTTCTAGTCAATGTGCGACTTAACCACTATCATTAGTTGTGATCCATACTAAGATCTCACTTGCGCTCCCCAACCGAGCCTAACCATGACTCTGATACCACTTGCTGGGGAGACCGGGAAGTGCTGAAAATGTCAATAGACTAAACGTTCCGAATCTAAGAGATCTTGCCACCACATATCCACCCAAACCTTGATGTTGGATTTAATCTCTTACACATCTCAACACTATGCATATACATTACTCTAGTCTATGCATGTGAGCAACTATCTCAAAAATCATAATAAAAATAATAACACCAGAATCTTCCCAATTTTTCACTTTCCTTTTTTCTGAGAAAGTTCAAAGATGAAAGTAAAAAGAGAAACCTCAAAAATAAATTTCAATCTAACCATGTTAGCCCTCTAATTCAATATACAAAAAAGTTTATTCACCACAAAACTAGTAAAACAATTAGTATCATCAATCTAACATGCAGTGGCATATAAATATAATTAATAATCATTACAAATGCATCATAACATTAAAGTTTATTCTCCAGTCTGCATTATAAATTTTGAATAAAATAAACTAAAACATGAAATTGTAAAGTGGGGGGTTTATGAGAAAGTAAAAAGAAAACTTTAAAAGATAACAATGACTGCATAATCTCACCAGATAATGAAGATGAAGATGAAGATGAAGCAGGTTGTGGAAAGAAATGGGATTGTTTTTTAGGGAGATAGAAATGAAGAGAGGGAGGTGTGAATAGTGAGAAAGAGTAAACATAGGTTAATGTCTTTGTTGAATTTGAGATTCTTTTGTCAAGATTGAATCTGGTAGAAGGTGAAAAACATAGTGGTGTTGAAGATGAAACAGCTCCAAACATGTTGAGATTGAAAAGCAAACAACCACCGACTGAACTTGAATTACTGTCACTTTAGTTTCTCCGCATAAATCTCTACTGTCTATCTTTGTTTCGTTGATTACTATGAATGTTGTGTTTTTTTATACTATCAAGTGTGTTATGTGAAATCCAATCACAAATAACTTTTTTTTTTTAATTTTTAATTTTGCCATTATTGAAGTAATTTCTATCTTTACTTTGAGTGGGTAGGTTTTTCATTTTCAAGTAAAAATGTGAGTTTTATGTTTAAAAATGTAATGTTTATAATGGTATAATAGTTATTTTGAAGATTCAATTTATCAAATATGGTAGCATTTCGAATCAAACTTTAGTCTCGATAGGATAGACTCTTAGTTCGACTGAGTTGTGTTATATTGTAGTCGAAGTCTGAACTAGCATGCAATAGTCGAAGAGGTGCATGATGTAGTCGAAGTCTGATTTACCATGTAGTGACTTAAGTTAGTTATGTATTTTGTTATGTAATAGGTATGTATGTCATATTTGAGTGTTATCATCATACATGACATACAAATATTAGGAGTTTATTTATAGGTTCTACTCTAGCTTGTTAGAGTACAAGGTTAAGGTTAAGTTGTTTTTCACTTGTAATCTGCAAACTCTAATTAAGTAAGTGAATAGAAAAATTATATTAACCAACCTCTCTCACTCACTTTTCATAACTGAATCATTTTCTTGTCTTTGTTCAAGAAAACATCTCTTTCTCACAGCATTGTTTCATTCTTAGTGTGGCGATTGTCACAACAAACTGGTGTGGTTAGCGTGGATAAAGGTGTCGTCAACGAAGTAGAGTTTGAGAAATTCACTAAAGTGAATGATTTCGATTTATGACAAACAAAGAACACACGGATCCTTTGACTACATTCATGTTGATCTTTGAGGACCTGCAAGAAATCCTTCACACTCATGGGCAAGATATTTTTTATTCATAGTTGATAACTATTTTAGAAATTTACAGATATTCACTAAGAAAACTAAGGATGAAAATTTTGAGAATTTCAAAAGTTGGAAGACTTTGGTAAAATATCAGACTGGAAAGAAGGTGAAGAGGTTGAGGATCGATAATGGCCTTGAGTTATGCAATAAAGCTTTCGACGGTTATTGTGTTATGTCTATAATTGCTAGGTACAAGACTGTAGCAGGTACTCTACGACAAAATGGCATGCCAGAAAGATTCAATCGAACTATCCTGAAAAGAGTTAGATGCATGTTGGTTAGTGTTAAATGATGAAGGTGTTTTTGGCTGAGGTTGTTGTGACTGCAGCATACCTTATAAATAGGTGTCTCTTGACTACTTTAGGGATGAAGACATCTGAAGAATTTTGGTAAGGTCATCCACCAGACCTCGACAAGTCACAAAAGGTGTATCATAAATCATGATGTAGTTTTAAATGAAGCAGAAATGATTGAAAAGCAAACAACCACCGACTGAACTTGAATTACTGTCACTTCAGTTTCTCCGCATAAATCTCTATTGTCTATTTTTGTTTCGTTGATAACTATGAATGTTGTTTTTTTTACTATCAAGTGTGTTATGTGAAATCCAATCACAAATAACTTTTTTTTTATTTTAATTTTGCCATTATTGAAGTAATTTCTATCTTTACTTTGAGTGTGTAGGTTTTTCATTTTCAAGTAAAAATGTGAGTTTTATGTTTAAAAATGTAATGTTTATAATGGTATAATAGTTATTTTGAAGATTCAATTTATCAAATATTGCAGTATTTCGAATCAAACTTTAGTCTCGATAGGATAGACTCTTAGTTCGACTGAGTTGTGTTATGTTGTAGTCGAAGTCTGATCTAGCATGCAATAGTCGAAGAGGTGCATGATATAGTCGGAGTCTGATTTACCATGTAGTGACTTAAGTTAGTTATGTATTTTGTTATGTAATAGGTATGTATGTCATGTTTGAGTGTTATCATCATACATGACATACACATATTAGGAGTTTATTTATAGGTTCTACTCTAGCTTGTTAGAGCACAAGGTTAAGTTGTTTTTCACTTGTAATCTGCAAACCCTAATTAAGTAAGTGAATAGAAAAATTATATTAACCAACCTCTCTCTCTCTCTCTCTCTCTCTCTCTCTCCCTCTCTCTTCATAACTAAATCATTTTCTTGTCTTTGTTCAAGAAAACATCTCTTTCTCACAGAATTTTTTCATTCTTAATGTGGCGATTGTCACAACAAACTGGTGTGGTTAGCATGGATAAAGGTGTCGTCAACGAAGTAGAGTTTGAGAAATTCACCAGAGTGAATGATTTCGATTTATGACAAACAAAGAACACATGATTCCTTTGACTACATTCATGTTGATCTTTGAGGACATGCAAGAAATCCTTCACACTCAGGGGCAAGATATTTTATATTCATAATTGATGACTATTCTAGAAATTTACAGATATTCACTCAGAAAACTAAGGATGAAAATTTTGAGAATTTCAAAAGTTGGAAGAGTTTGGTAAAATATCAGACTGGAAAGAAGGTGAAGAGGTTGAGGATCGATAATGGCCTTGAGTTATGCAATAAAGCTTTCGACGGTTATTGTGTTATG